AGGAGCCGGATGATTACGTACAAGACCAGCGGTTTCTTAGAATTATTTTTAATTTACCAGAATACCAGGTGTAAAAGCTTCATTACGAGGGTGTGTTCTCTCTCGGGCAATGGAGGGACTATGAAGGAAAGTATACAGTCACTCCTATTGCAGGGGGAGCACTCGACGCAGCCCTTTCTCATGTACTGAGAGAAAAAGCAAAAACAGAGACAGAGAAAAGGGCAAGGCGGGAGCAACAAATAAAATTTACCATTTCCACCAATATCGAAGATGTGCTGTTTAAGAGAAGAGTTTGCGCCAATAACACGAAGTTGAATGATTTTCTTACGGTGGAGTTGGGCGGCAAGGGCGTCGTGGACGCAAATTGGAATGTCTTGCTGGAGGAGTTTGTTAGGAACCCTGAGAAATACATCGACGATGAGGGAGTATTGAACGAAATAAAGACATTATATAATTATGTGAGGATGGAGGCTGCTGTAAGGGAGGAAATAAATTTTTGTGAAGATTTACGCAGCCTTTACGATAAAGGTGTGCACGCTTTACTGAAGTGGTCAGAGGATGCTGCGGAGGTAAAAGCAGGTGTTCAAGAAATCACTAAAAGGTTCTTGGATGCAGCCCTCGAGGAAGTGAGGTACCGAACAATTACGAGTGCACCGAAAACACTGAAGGGATACTACGAGTCTGTGTGCAATGCGAGGTGGCATCATGTCGTGGAAGTCCCTGGCGGCGAGAGGACGGGAATGGAGGTGGAGAATGGGAAGCCAGAACAGTCATTGACGTACAAGGCAGTTGGCCAATCTCTCGAAAAGGATGACGGTGTGGGGCAATCCGGTGCACCGCGTCCCAGGCTGCTGGTGTTCACGTCGGACAAGGGGTGGCCGTACTCGTGGAAATGGAAGGAGAATAAATCCGCTCGTGACTGCCATGTGAACTGTGAGGTGGAGCGCGTGTGGCAGATCGTTAAGGGCGATCTAACCGAATGGTTCAGCACTCACGGTGAGGCCGGCTTTGAGCTTTAGCGGCATGTGTTGATTGGGACGCCCGGGATCGGGAAGTCGATGGCTGCCGGCTCGTTCCTCCTCTACCAGCTGCTGCAATACGATGCGGAGCGACTCCAAATGGTTGTGTGTTTTGTTGGTGGAAGCACGACGTACGTGTTTAACAAGACCACGCAAGCGGTGTCAGTATACATGGGTAGGTTCAGTGTTGAGTATGCTGTGGACATTTTGTCTGACCGTGTGGTGAGGGGGTATGTCATCCGCGACGCGGCAGAGCCGGATTATCGTCCGTCTATTGATTTGTCTCCCAGTGGATGGGGCAGGATTGCGGTGTCACCCTCAAATGTGCGCAACTACAGGGAATGGAGGAGGCAAAAGGGAGCCGCAGAAATCATCACGAATTGCCCCGACGAGGGCGATGTGAGGGCGATGCGCGTTTGGATGAGGTGCCACCGGCCCGCGCAGGAGCGGGCGGAATACTGGCGAGAGGTGAAGGGTCACATGGATGAAGTGGGGCCGCTTCCAAGTTATATTTTTGACGGGCGAAAATACGATGGTCGGATTCAACAGTGACACAAAACCGTCGATGGGACGACCTCTCCGAGAGCCGAGCAATGCTCTGGCCTGGGAGAGTCCAGGTTGTGGGATGATGGCAAGGTGTTCCACTGGCTTGCGAAGCTTGTCCGAGTACGAGGGGAAATGCACGATTATGAATGGCCTTCCAATGCACCGGCACCCGCTGACCTCGGAGATAAAACAGCGTGCGGGTTGTCAAGGGTTAACGCAGTGGAATGATTTTATTTTTCTGTTATCGAGGACCAGGGATTATGTCGTATCAGAAAGAATGGGAAGGTGCACCGTGTCTGCCTTCTTGGATGAGGATGTCACAGCTCCAGTCAAATCGAAAGACGCTGGTTGGGCTGCCGAGCACCACGGCGAGTGAGCATCACACCACAACCAGCGCTTTGAATGGGCTCAATGATCGTCTGGCGTATTTTAATGGTTGGGAGGAATTTTCTGAAGGATTGTCGTGGGATATGATTTATGTGCAGCACGCAGACAACACGCCGATGAATAACTGGCAGAGATGTGGTGTCGTCGATTCCAATAATTTGAGCGACGATGAAAAAGAGATTGCGGCGTTTTGGAAGGAAAAGGTGCACCAGTACTACGTGTCAATATCATCCAGAGACTTTAGAAGAGACAAATCCCTCCGAAGTGAGGAAGAACCGAAGAAATGAAAAAACGAATTGGGGAATGAACGGGCGCAGTTTGATTTCTGGCAAAATAGGGATCAGGGGCTGTTTCACCTCTTTAAATACTTTTTTGCGCGCATACGGTGCGGGTGCAGCAGCACCAGGCGACAGTATCGCACACAGATGCCGAAGATGTCCAACGCTATCGGACATATCAGTGACAGAAGAGGAAATTGGAAGGGAAAGGGGCGGTTTTATTTTTGTTAAAAAACATTAGGGGTTGTTTCATACATGTGAATGCTTGTGTGTGCATACGAGGCATAATCGGAGAATTGCTCCCTTGTGAGGGAATCGTCGTGGCCGGCGACATCGCAGTATTGCTGCAATGTTCATTTCCTTCTATTATTTTGTTCAAAGGCCCATCATCAACAGAAGCATCTTTGAGGGATGGACGACGGACAACTTCTATTGAGGAAACAGTGCACTCCGTGTAACCGCATGGAGTGAGGCGCCGCATCCCATTGAGGGCGGGACGGCTTTTTCGTGCCGGTGCCATCATTGCTTCGCCTTGCGATTTCGTGCTTGACTGCCACATCGTGGCGCAGGGCCAATCCCCCGTATTGTCGGGGAGGCCAGGCGCCTGCAATGTTTCCCTCATGGGATGTTTGTTGTTTGCGCAGGGCTGGCGGCATCGAACAGCGTCCGAACCAGCCGCGTATTGCCGGAGCACAGCCGTGGCACCACGAGTTGTGAGGACACGTGGTATTGCAGTGCGGACCATCGGAGTTATTTGGGAAAACACGAGAGAAGGCAGCAGAAGCACATCCGTGAGCACTGCGGCAAATTGGCACGGATGCTCTCTTTTTACTTTGTGACGGGACGATGCGATGGCGCGCCCTGTGCCTTTTGCTTGTGCCCTCATAGGCACGTTCTAAAATGGAGCGTGTCGTTTTGCGAAGAAAGCTCCGTGTGTCAACGCGACAGGGAAACACGGTTGGCGGTGGCAGGAGTCCTTACCGGAACGGCAATAGAGTGCGGGGTTCCCAGAGTCGGCCGCTCGCCGAGGTGGGGACGGCTCTCAGGGATTGCCCCGAGCCTGCTTCTTAATGCCGTTGTGGTTGTTGACGGCAAATTGTTGATGGGAGAGCGAGAGTGTGCGTGCCGCCGTGTGGTTTCTCACGGTGGGAACTCGCTGGAGTTATGCATGTGTGTTTGCCTCACGGATGTGGTTTTATGGAACTTTATTTCACGTTATTCGGTGGCGCAGCAGTGAGCGGTGACGTGATGCAACCTAATAGCCACACGGGCGGGACGGACACGGTTATGCGAGCCTGTGGAGGACCCGAGCAATTCCAAGTGTACTATGCGGTTTGGGTCCACAAAGAAGGAAGAAGCGCCGGGCAGCTGAGGGGAGTTGCAATGCACGCGGCTGCAGAAGATGACATGCATTGTTTGGCTCACGTTGAATGCCACTTTGGGGGCTTTTTCTCGAGGCTGGGAATCCTCTTCATTATTTGGAGGTAATTGATGACACCAATTGTGGAGGGTGTTTTCTTCCATACGAGGATGGCGCACGGGAGACAAGGAAGAAGGAGAGCGACGCCTCGCCAAAACAGCGGCTGTTGGAACGTTGGCGAGACTCGGGATTGTTTGCGCGGCCAGCTGCATGCCCTCGGCAGGATGTTCCTTGAGGAGCCCATTGGCCCGAGTGTGAGACGCAGGCACCGCAACAACCGTCTCATTACTTCTCCATCGCACGAATGACACGACACACGTCAGGCGTGGCAGGCGACACCCTCTGCGAAACTCCTTTCTCCTCTGCTTCAAATCTTGGCATTTTCTGCATGTGGACACCGCTCCCATTGGCCGTCTTCTGTGACGCGAGAGCCACCTGTATTCCTCTCCATCGCATTAAAGAGTCGTGAGGATGGCTTGAGGGTGCGTTGAGGAGCCGTGTGGCCTCTGCGAGCATTTCCACTGCCATTCGGAAGTGCTGAATTTTGGATTACCAAAACGCCACTTGAGTGCTTGCGTCAGAGGCTTGCATGACTGAGCAGCAAACGTGTTTGTGGAGGTGAAGGAGGGCCACACCATTGGGAGGAGGAAGAGTGAATGGGTGGGTTGGTGGTGTCTGTGTCCCATATGTGGTGCCCGACTGGTGCTTCACTTTGTTTGGTGTTATTATCATTTGCATCCACAAAGAATGGCTTTGGCTGCAGCACCCACGAGCTCCTCTGTCGGTGGTTGAATGAGGCTGCTCTGGTGTTGCCTCCCCCAACTCTCTCGGTGTCTGTGCGTTGCGTGTTTGTGAGCATGACTCTTCTTCCGTGCTGTGCATTTGCCTCATGAGCCGCCGATGGCCTTTGTGGCATATATGATGATTTGCGGCATTTTGTTAGATTGTGTCTTGGCCTCCGCCGCGGAATTACGGTCAGACTGGAGGCGTTACTTTTTCTTTACTGTGATCACGTGCGATGTGTATGGGAGGCCTCTCAGAGAAGAGCAAGTCGACATTGTTGTGAAACGCATGTCTGGTGCCACAATTTTCATTGACGCGGAATGAGTTGAGGGTTTTGCATATAAGATCCTGTGCATTCTTGCCGTGGTGCTCCTCATGCATGGCCCATGGCGACGACTGGCTGAGAATGTTCAGAGGGTTTCTCAATGAGCGGAGGGGTGCATAATGCTTTTTTACTCATTGAGAGCCCGAGCGTCACAGATGATGCATGAGGCAAGCAGAACCTCGTGCATGGCGGAATGAAGAGACGAGGGGCTGATTGTTTGATTGTTACTGACGAGTCTTGTCTCACTGCTTGGAGGGGGCTGTCGTTGACTGGGGCAACCTGTTTTGTGTGTCCAGACACTGCTTGCACCGAGTGGCGGGGTGCCGTGTTGGTGTGTGCGGCACCGTCATGCGGGGCAGCAGCGTGACGTTTACGGACTGCGTGCCTGTGAGCTGATGAATGTGGCGGGAGGCGTGTCTGAGGAGAATCTGTGAAAGGAGGAGCGACATGCGTTTGGCGGTGCTACTGTGCGATGTGCGAGGGAAGAGGAAACAAATTGCTTTCTGACATGCCGGTGAGTGTGCCACGGCCGCCGATGAGTTCTCAGGGAGAGGGACAGGAGTGAGTGAGACGGAGACTGTGCGCACCCGCTGCGACGTGTGGTGCCACAGGATGCGATTGCCATTGTGAAGGGTGCGACGGTCGTTATGCGTGCAGCAGAGCGTCATCTGCATCATTGTGCCTGCAGAGCTTGCAGGTGCTGCGAGGAGGTGCAGACGACCTCTCATCATTGGGCGCTGAGGCCGTTTTTCCTCTCTGCTCAGCGGGAGAAGCAACTCTTCTTGCACGTGACGTGCTGGTCTGCATCGATACTCCCAACGGGTGTCACGCAGCCGTGTCGTTGCAGTGCAACTCTCGTGCTCCTCACTGCACACGCGGCTCCCTGTCGCTTGGCTTATTTGCAGCGCCACGGCCTGCGGTCCCCATTGGGAGGCTGCTCACTTGTTTTTCTTAATTTTTGTGTGCTGTTGAGAGGTGCTGTGGAGTAATGGCTGCGGGGATGGTGATTTTGTGTTTCGCTTTGAGTGGTGATGTTGTGTACTGCTGTTGTGTTGTCTTTCTGCCGCTGTTGCCTGTTGCTCCCCTCCAAGAAGGAAGCTACTACCAGGCGCGAATCGCTACTGTGAAATTCGAGGGCAGTGAAAGGACCAACAACAGCACACACACCGCCCACACACACATATTTATATGCTCTCACGTGTTGCTGCTGTCATGTCACCCCGCACACTCAACCGTCGCCGCGTGACCGGATCCAGCGGAAGGAGGAGGGAAGGAGGAGAGATTGAGCAGCGGAGGCCCAACATGTCCCGGCGTGTGTTTACTTCCGCGGTGCTGCTCCTCCTTGTCGTGATGATGTGCTGCGACAGTGGAGCTGCGACTGCTGTAGAGAGTAAGTCAGGGGATGGTCAGAAGCTGCAGTGGGTCGATCTATTTTTGCCGAATCAGACGCTGGTTGTACCGAAAGGTGGAACGTCTCAAGAGACGAAGAGGGATTCATTTGTTTCACCCTCTCTCGTCAGTGCTGGTGGAGTAATTGCTGCTTTTGCCGAAGGTCGCGTGTATGCCGAATATGTCGTTGAACGTAATAAAATAATTGAGCCAATTTCTTCTTATGTTGTTGCGGGGTACATTGACTCCTCGTGGGATTGGTCCACACTTGTTGGCAAGGTGAGTGAAAGTACATGGAAGGCAGACACCGTGCTTGGTACAACGGATGGAACGGATAATCGTGTGGAGGTTTTTTACCACCCCACAACCACCACGAAGGGCAATAAGGTGTTTCTTCTTGCGGGAAGCCTTGATTTGCACAATGAAAGTGATGGGAAGTGGAAATGGGACAACTTTGAGCTGAAACTGGTTGTGGGTGATGTCACGAATCCCACGGGTGGCAAGCTGAGTGAACGGATCAAATGGGGCCCAATCAAGTCTCCATTGAACGAGAGTACTATGGCTGCTCACGAAGGTAACTTGAAGGAGTTTCGTGCCGCTGGTGGCTCAGGCATTGTGATGCAGAATGGCACGCTTGTGTTTCCACTGATGGCGAAGAGCGGAAATGGTGACGTTTACTCCATGATCATTTACTCGACGGACAACGGCAGTAATTGGGTGCTCTCGAAGGGCGTTTCCCCTGCGAAATGCTATAACCCCCGCGTCACCGAATGGGAGGGTTTACTTCTCATGATTGTTGACTGCGAGGATGAACAGAAAGTGTACGAGTCGCGTGACATGGGGACAACGTGGACGGAAGCTGTCGGGACGCTTCCAGGCGTGTGGGTCAACTCACGATCATTCTTTTGGGACCTGAGCTTGCACGTGGATGCCCTCATCACCGCGACCATTGAGGGCAGGAAGGTCATGTTGTACACACAGAGAGGGAACTCCTCGGGGAAGAATAAGGCCAATGCGCTCTACCTTTGGGTGACGGACAGCAACCGCTCGTTTTCTGTTGGACCGGTTGGCATGGACAATGCTGGGAAGGGGGAGCTTGTCAGCGCCCTGCTGTACTCGGATGGCAATCTGCATCTTTTACAACGGAGGGGCAACGGTAAAGGCAGTGCCATTTCACTTTCCCGCATGACGGAGGAGCTGAAAAAAATTAATTCCGTCCTCAGTACTTGGGCGCAAAAGGACATTTTCTTCTCCAGCTTTTCTATACCCACGGCGGGTCTGGTGGCAGTTTTGTCCGATACGGCCAGTGGTGACACGTGGAACGACGAGTACCTTTGCCTGAATGCAACGGTGACGAAAGGAAGGAAGGTCAAGGATGGATTGAAATTGACGGAGTCTAACTCCGGGGTAATGTGGCCTGTGAACATTCCGGATGATAATGTGCGTCATATATCCTTGAGCCACGACTTCACAGTTGTGGCGTCGGTGACCATCGAAAATGTTCCGAGTGAGGACGCTCCTCTACTGGGTGCGATTTTTGGGGACAATAATTCCTCGCATACCATGGGAATCTTGTATACCGCGGATAAAGAGTGGATGACGATGTTCAAATACAAGAAGAAAACAAAAAGTGGCACTTGGGAGCCGGGGAAAGAATACCAAGTGGCACTCATGCTGCAAGGCAACAAGAGCTTTGTGTACATTGATGGTGAGTCGCTGGGAGAAGAGGAAACGCTGTTAACAGGTGAGAGACCACTTGAGCTCGCAGGCTTTTGCTTTGGCGCGTGCGGTATGCAAAACTCTCCTGTGACGGTGAAGAACGTCTGTCTGTACAACCGCCCACTGAATCCCACTGAGATGACTGCAATCAAGGACAGGAAACCCGTTCCAAAGAGAGCTCCGGAACCACAAGCGGGAGGTGTTCCTCAAACCATCGCATCTGCTGGGTCTGGCCCAGAGAAAAATTCAGCAGCTCCAGCGGTGCCCATGACATTGGACCTCCATGCAGTTGAAGAGGTGAGTGAGAGTGGAGCGGCAAAGAGGAATACCTCTCGGACTGAGGGTGTACAATTCTTTGAGCCAGAGGTGAGCTTGAATTCTGCTGGGAGCGGACTGCTGCCGCTGCTGCTTCTGCTGGGACTGTGGGGGTTTGCGGCTGCGTGAGGAGTTTGCGGCCTCAGTGTGGAGCACTTGTGCCCTTCCCTGCACCGACACTCACACACACCGCTAGGAATATGTTTTACTACACGGAGAATAATTTGTTTTTGTTTTCTTTTAATTTTTTCCATTTTTTCTTTCTGCTTTAGGGCAACCATCATAAGCGTTCTTTTTTTTTTTTTTTTTTTTTTTTTTTTTTTGGCTTTTAATTGTTTTTCTTTTCTATTCGGAGTATAATTTCTCATGTTTTTTTATGTTTGTTTTTAATTATTTATGTTTGCTTTTTTAAAAAATTGTTTTATGTCTGTTTTTTTTTTTTTTTTTTTTGCTCCACTCTTCTCTTCTTTTCTTTGTTTTTGGGGCAATCAATATGGACGTTCTTTTTTTTCTACTCTTCCCTCTTTTCAATTGTTTCTTCTGCACTCTTCCTGTGAGGAGTGCCGTGTGTTTCCCGCCCAACTGCTCCACTCGCACACCCACCGACACGCTCATGACGACGGCCCTGTGCGCCTCGCCTGCTGCACGCATGAGGAGGGGCCGCGACGAACGGCGCGCTGAGGGAGCCGTGACGTGTGGGCGTGCGACGAGGGCCGGTGGGGCGGAGCACACATTTCTTTCCCTCTTGTTTTGTTTTTTTTACGGCCAGGGCGGGCAGACACCCGCAGCACCACACACACAGCCACACCCTGCCGCCGTGTTTTTAGGATTTTTCTTTGCGTTCTTTTTACTTTGCGCGTGCATTTCATGCGCCGGCAGTCCCGTCAGCATTTCTCTCCCCTCTGATGAGTTTTTTTTTTTTTGCTGCGCTCACTCTCCCGATGGAGTGACGCGACTGCCGTCATGTCTGCGTGCTTCTCTCAGTCCCCCACACACGAGTGACTGTGCTCTGCAGGCCGCACTCGCACGCCGATGAAAGGGCTGAGGGGAGCAGCAACACGCAGATGGCCCCATGAAATATAAACGATGTGCGGACACATGGAGGGTCAGACGGTTGAAAGACATTTAAATATCTTTTAATTTTTTTGGGGGGCAAAATATATGCAGACAGTTTCTGGAGCAACATGGTGGTTGGGTGCACCTTTTTGTGTTTTTTCTTTTTCTTTTTTTCTTTTTTATTATTTGGGTGTAGCTGTAATAGAGGACGACTTTTTCAATTATTTTTTTTTTGTGTGTGTGTGCGGGGGGTTAAAATATGATGAAAGGGAATTGTTTTTTAAAATTATTTTCAATAAATTTTGTATGAATTGCCGCTGCTTTGTCTGCAGTGCAATATCATGAGCTTGAGCAGTTTTTTTTTTTTCTTTATTTCTGCCATGCACCTCTGCTGTACTGTTTTTGTGCGTCCCTTCACATGCTCTGCTCCTGTTTTTACTTCTTTTCTTTGTGTGTCTGCAGGCACACACAACCACATGCACACACAAAATGCACATTGCAGTCGATTTGGATGCTTCTTTTGTAGCGTGTGCTGGCGGTTGCGGGTGGCTGCTGCTTCCTCCGTAGGCATGAAGGGAAGGAGGAGAGAGGGAGCGCGCACCGCGAGCCACTCTTTCTGCGGGTGTGATGCGCGCGGTGGTCTGCGACTGCTGTGGAGGGCCGCATCCTTTCGGTGTGCGCTTCTCCGCCGTTGTGCCGTGCGTTTGCGCATGTCATTTGTTATGCGCGTGCGTGCTGGGCATGTTTTTCCGGAGCGTTAGGCGGCCACCATCTGTCTATGGCGGTTTGTGTGAGTGAGCACGTGCGGATGAGGGTCAGGGCGTATGGAATGAACGAATGGCTTGAGGAAAGGGGAATTCAATTTGGAGGGTATTTGGACCGGATTATTTTGGCTGCGGTGGAGACATGCACGACGGATTTGTTTCCGCATAATTGGGGGAGGATGCGACAGGATTGTCCGAAGTGGCCCGTCAATGCAATTCGGGTTTTATAGCACTGAGGCACAGTGGTCTTCCTGCAATGGCTGGTGACGGCCTCTAGTGGACCGGTGTATTTATGCTGCTGCTGCTCGAGGAGGCGTAGAAGTGCGATTTGAGGTGAGCGGCGGAAGGGCCGCACATCCCGCAGTGAAGGTCGTCGTTGGCCCACCGGGTGCCTCCGAAGGTTTTGTTGGATGCAACGTCCTTATGCCCGTCTCCGGATGGCGGCATCCCTGATGCAGCCAACGAACGGGGCTGGGAGCGACGGTAAGACGCAAGCACGTGTGGATGTTCGGAGCGGCCGGCGCACCGCACGCTGAGAGCATGGCACGGCGAGGACCGGACCTAGAAAAGGGACACCGCGTGGGACGTCAATCTTCGCTGCAGCGGGTGCCTCCGAATTCGGATTTGCTCGCACCTTCTGCGGTCTCTCTTCCTCCCCTCACTTCTGTGCCGAGGACTGTGCCGCGGGATCCAGCAGCGCGATGTTTGGCCGCAGGAACATGGCCCGAACAAATGATTTGTGGGAGGGGGATGTGCACTGCGACGAGAAGGAAGAAAATGTTGCGAGACGACCACCACCACCACAAGACCGGAGCGAAGTTGTGTTTTGTCCACTTGCGCGAGGGCAGCCTGCCAACTGGTCGGTTGGGAGGATTATTTTTCTTGCGTCTTTGCGCCTTTCTTTTTTATTCCTCTGCGTTTTCATGCGGATCTGCGAAGGGAGATTTGCAAAAAATTCCTGCGAGGCGTCCGTGCCGTCGTCGGAAAAGCGGATTCCCCCTTGTAAAACGCTACTTTTTAAATTTGTTTTGGGCGGGGAGTTCCTGTCGATTCAACGCGACTTTGTTTTGCGGATTTGATGCGTGTGTTTCCGAGCGGTTCGATCTGTGCTCCCAGCCCACTCGGATGTGGTGTGCGCGTCGACGTGAAGGTGCCTGCCAGCCGTTTTATTGCCTCCCCCGCTGTGGCTGCCGCCGTTGCCTTCTTCTTTTCCTGAGGTCCTGCGGCTTTGTGACAAGATGTTTTGGAGAAGGCGTTTCCGCTCTTATCGTCCATGGCATTTTGATTCTGGTGTCGCGGTCAGGAGACATTGAACGAGAGGGTTTGCTGCCCTCTTGTTTTTGTCCTTTCTGCCTGACGGCGAGTTCTACACAAACGTGCTCCTCGGCACCTCAGTTGGTGCTGGTGGGTTTGCTCACAGTTGTCACTGGCAATCGCATGCGCCAACTCTTCTCTGCTCCTTTTCAGTGTCGCATTTTTTTATTTATTGACGGACGCCATTCTGTCCGGCGTGCCACTTTGATTGGATTGTGTGGGACTGCTCGCCAACGCCATCGGAGAAAGCAGGCCGACTTTTTCACGTATTTAATTCCATCTTGCATGCAGGTATTTTTTCCACACGTTCTGTTGGGCACTCAAACATCGAGGGATTTGGAACTATGCGTACGTGGAATTCTTCCTGCCATGTGAACTGCGGGCAACACCGAGGGGCTGTCACTTTGACTCCGCAGAGTTGTTGTGTCTCTTTGCAGGGTTGGCAGGAAATTCCATGCAGCCCGCTACTGCTGGTGTGTCCCCAAATGTTGTCACTCCATGCGAAGAATGTGCTTCAGCGAGTGAGGGGGATGATTGGGTTTGTGTGCACTCTGGTTCTGTTTGCTACTTTGTGCGGGCACGCAAGAGTTGAGGGGTGGGAGAATGGAGCGGGGCGATGCATGGCTGCGTCTCGCCCATTGTTCACTGCACGATGGTGTGGTGCACATTGTGGTGCTGACTCTACGATGCGACTGCGGTCTCCTGTGCGGCAATGGTGGTGGGTGGAGGAGATTGTTGACCCGCGGCGGGACGGTGGGATCGTGCCTCCTTTTCTTTTTTCCTTCCCTTTTGTAAAGGTGTGCACTTATTTTTGGTGTCAGCGATGAGGCAAACAGACCGACAACGTGAATAAAACAAAATAAAAAAGGGCGATAATGTGGCGGTGTTGGGGTTGGTTGCACGCCTCGTGTTGCTTCGGGGGCGGTGGGCCTTGACTGTTTCACCGACAGGCGTTGCAGTGCGGCTGCATGGCGTACCGACCTCCCCGCCGTGCGAGTGTCACGCCCAACGCCATTGGGACTGCGAGAAGAAACAGCCGCGACTGTCCTTTGGAGTCAGCGGCACCTGCTGGCCGCAGTTGGGCGGTGCGAGTGGGATGCCTCACCGCACGGGTGTTGTGATGGCACCTCGCCGTGGCTCTTGTGATGGTTCCGACGCTGCAGCTCGACATGTGGTGGGGAGTGAAGTGTGGCCGCAGTGGACCATGAGCAGCACCAACATGAGGCTGAACGGTTTCCTTTGTAATTATGTTGGCGGCAGGGCGGCCGTTGATGAAAGACTACAATGTGACGATGGAGATGTTTGTTCAGGAACCGGATGATTACGTACAAGACCAGCGGCTTCTTGAAGAAATTCTTAACTTAACTGCGTACCAAGCGCTGGAGGCCATTACTAAGCCTCTTCACGAAGGTGTGTGCTCTCTCGGGCAACGTAGGGACTATGAAAGAAAAGGATACGATCACTCCTCTTGCAAGAGGAATACCAAACGGAGTACTCACGCAGGTACTGATAGAAGCGAGGCGGGAGGCAGAGGAAAGGCTAAGACGAACGCAATAAATAAAATATACCATTTTCACTAATATCGAAGACGTACTGTTTTAAGGAAGAGTTCGCGTCAATGAAATGAAGCTGAGCGACTTTCTTACGAGGGAACTGGACGGCAGGGGCATTGTGGACACCAATCGGGATGTCTTGCCGGAAGAGTTTTTCAAGGACCCCACGAAGTATATCCGTGATAAAGGAGCATTGGACGAAATACAGGCATTGCTGGCTCAGCCGGCCACCTCAACGTGGTGCCAGGGTCTAGTACTCTTTGCTAGAGAGGAAGCCAAGCGCCTGCTACCCATCCGCTGTGCGCGGAGAGGCAGTAGGCGCCGCACAAACGGGTCGGAAGGGCACCAGATGGAGCCATTTACATGGCTGCCCGCTGGGTTTCTATCCGCTGCTGAATTCCATCGGCGCTTATCAGCGCTATACATACCTTTTGCGTGCCGT